CACTATAGTCACCAGAACAACTACAGCTTAATGTATTTGTTCTGGTGAGTATAATCATTGCCTTCAGGCATTTTCATACAAACACTTCAGAGAAAATGCAGTGTTTACATTGCCCCTAGGGACCCCTCCAAGTTGCTGCCACTCAGATGGCCACTTGAGGTGCTTTCTGGGGCAGTGCTGCACAGTAGGTAGCACTGCCATTCAGCGTATTTCGCCCACATCCCACCTCCTTGACGATTTCAGCCAATCCAATGCTTTCCCTATGGGAAAGCATTGGATTGGCTAGAAAAATCTGAAATTCTGATGTCACCAAGGAGGCAGATCGGGTTGAGGCCAGCATTGACGGACTCGCGTGACGCTGGGAATAATGTGAGTTTTAACATTTTCTGCGTTGGCTCAGGGGGAGCAATACATGTTTGTGTTTCTGACCCTATAGTGTTCCTTTTTAACATTTCATCCAAACTTGCTCCAAGTACTCTAAATGAAAATCCTAATAATTATCTCTTTGTTTTATTATTTTTTTGTGTGTTCATTATAAGGATCTGGTGATGCCGGGTTCCCATTATGGTTTAAATCCCTCATGACCATCTGTTGCTGTGTGAAGGATTGTTATATCCAGAATGTAGCCATTTCCACCTTGCTTGAAGTCATCAATCATTCCCAGTCCTTATCTATTGTCATGGACGATCGAATGAAACGGGCTAAAACATCGGGATATGGTGCGGTGTTTGGAAAACTGCAAATGGTCACGGTGCCGCCTGTCTCACCAGGCGTCCTGAAACTCATTGCAGAGAAAACAGATTTCTACCCGGTACGAGTTTACTGTCCAATGTCTGTCTTCTAGCCTTTCATACTGAAAGCGTTGATACCATTGATGTTCCCATCTTTAGATAGTTTCCCGTGAACACCTGTGTTCCTGTATTTTAGGGAGCTTTACGCACGTCTTGGCCCACTTGTGTATGTCAGTTTCTGTTAGACTGTGCAGAAGATAGGTCAAGGCAGTGTCCCCCCCAGTCTGATTTAATATAATATCCATTTTTACTACAAAAAAATTACGCAGTGGCTGACCTAGCAATGTATTCTTTAACATGGTTCCCAGTTGTGGAGATATTGAGCATTACAGATAAAAAGCATTACTAGTGGAGAAATTGCCATGGAAACCAGTGGAACATTTTCCTGATTGCTCCATATTTCGAACTTTGCACCAGATTTATACAGCCCAGTATATCTAGGGTACGAGCATGTCATTAAAAACATTGCAAACATGACAACTCTCCATATGAGAAAAAAAGTTAAAAAGTCAATACATTTCAGGTTTGATTCAAAGTAATAATAAATAATATGTATATAAATATAATACAAAATAAAGAGTAAAAATGGTTCTAAGTTTTAAACATGCTTGCCACCATATATAAAAATAATGGACGTTTTTGCGTGTTGGCCCACTTTTAGAAATGTTATTTTGCAATTTATTCTGTGTATTTTAACACTGAGCCCTATTTCCCATCAGAGAGTGGCTCATGTCCTGTGGAATCAACTGAATATGGAAACCAGAGAACATCACATTACATGTGTCGAGCTGTTCTACAGACTGCACTGCTTGGCTCCTTCGGCTAATATTTGCGAAGAAATCATCTGCCAGACTCTGCTGGACAATGATAAGGTGAGATAGTTTGAATTCCTAGTATAGATCGGTCCTAAGATATTATACAACACAACATGAGGAAATGTGTAATCAGGCATATATTGGGTTAAACAACTGCTATGACTTTATCAGCCGGTTCTTGTCTATTATCTAATGTGATGAAGATGATCTGGTTGTGTTTTAGGTCAAACTGATGAAATCTACAATTTCACAGAAAACAATAATGTTAAAAAATGTATGTTCCTCTCCGTAGGAAACAAACTGTATAGTCATTTTGTGTTTGATGTGATTGTGTTAACATTGTGTCACTACTACTCCTCAGTCAATCATGCTCCATAATCCCTTGCACCTTGCAATTGTGAAGTCTATTTTTTGTTGAGGAATGACCTGCTTGTAGAATTGTTGATTTTTCTTAAAGTAACACTACGGGCACCATAACAACTTAATTACAATTGGGTTGTAATGGTGGAAGGAAATCCTTGTCACTGGCTTTCCTGAAGGCGTTAACCATAAAGCAATAGTTTAAAGCCATCGCTCTGCCCCTGTTCTTTCTCTCAATGTCCAAAACTTGTATCAGGACCTTTTGCCACTGGGAGCATTAGCTGATGCTCTCAGGCTATCAATAGCTCACCATTGAAAAAATAAGGCAAAAGATGCTTGTTTTTTTTGTTTTTTTTTGGCGGGGGGGGGGTCTCTCTTTTCTTAAAGGCGTCAGCAGACCTGCAACGATGTCCATTGATGAGGTTGTTATTGTGTGAGCAGATGCCAGCATACCTGGGATCTCCTCATACTTCATTGCCCGGTGTGTGCCTTTTAAGTGATCTTCTAAACCAACAGGGCTAACACGTAAAGTGAAATTTAACGTTCATTCTCTAATGGTGGGGGATCAGAGAGAGACTAATGTGGTTTCCACAGTGATTGCTTCATTTTTAGACTTCTGTATAAAACCACAACTAAACCGCAATTCTTAAATTGCACTAAACATGCAGATTCATTAGAATTCCATGATATATTACTGGGCATCACAGATAGTAGAATATTATGCCTGATTTTAAACTCCGCAGCTGGCTCAGTGGGTGTCTTCAACTCTCTGTCACTGTATACTGGCTATGTTTACAGGATTACTTACTATAGTGAGAATCAAAGTGAATATCAAATAGCCGATAGGAACATTTGTCTTATTCATTTGTGCTTCCAGTTCCGTTACTTTGGCCTTAAATTTGAACTGTCGCTTTAGCTAACGGTGAATAACCCTGTTTTCTGATTGCTCCATATTTAGAACTTTGCCTCAGAATTATACAGCCCAGTATATTTAGAGTACGAGTGTGTATATATATATATGTTTTTATTCTTTAACAGGTAACCAGATTAGAGGCTCTGTTCCGATTCTCTGTGATTTGGCATCTGACAAGGGAAATACAAGGCAGCCGAGTCACATCTCACAACCGCTCTTTCGATAGGTGAATAAATTATATTGATTTTTATTCTCACTTAGTGATTTTTGCTCCGGGGAATACAATGAGTTTATTTCTGTTTTCTGTTTGATGTTACTTTTAATATTATGGATTTTGGATTATATTTTTGGCCTTTTCAATAACGTTTTGATTCACAAAATTATAGAAACCGTCAGGGCTATTTACTATAGTGAGAACTGCTGGGAATTCAAAGTGAATATCATATTATGGCTGAAATAACTAAACTGAAAACAGAATTGACTTGGAGATTTTTCAAACTTGGCTACTTGGGCATAAACTTGTGATTTTACTTTCAATTCACTTTGAATTCCGAGCAATTCTCATGTTAGTGAATAGCCCTGGGTGTCTTTACAGATTCTCTGGATGTATATATAGAACCAGTAAATACGCCTTGTGCCCTGTTCCTTTTTGTAGATCCCTGTTTGTGGTACTTGATAGCCTAAACTGCTCCGATGGAGCGATCGGTGCAGCTGCGCAGGGATGGCTTATCCGAGCTCTCTCCTTAAACGATGTTGCAAGAATCTTGGAACCTATACTACTGCTGCTACTTCACCCAAAGACACAACGTACCTCCATTCATTGCATCAAGCAGAAAAACGCATCAGGTCAGGAGGCGTTTTAAAAAGTCGTCCATGTTCATATTTATCATGTAAATGTGGATGCATTTTTTATTGTCTTGCTTACATTAAATAAATTCATCAGATGGTTGCGTTTTAAAAAAAGATGCAATCTAATATACAGACTGTGATAGACAACTTGGTAGCAAATCATATATTCAGTTTCATAATCGGTAAAACATTTCCGTAGAGATTTTAATCTACAGTGTTACTGTCATAATGGGTTGCATGCACTGTTAATGTCTTCTAAAATTAATTCTGCACTTTATCAGATGCAAAGATTGCATTATACTAATATTATCTGCTGACATTGCAGTCTGCAGTGTAACTTTTTTTTATATATTTTGTGTTGAACCAATGCCTGTGTTTTTGTGTAACATCTGTGTTTTCCTTTGTTGTTTGTTTTGTTTTTGTTTTGTTTTTTTAGAAGAATTCAATTACTGGTTTCGAAGTAAAAAAAACTATTTGAAAGACCCCTCAATGATTCACGAATTCCCAGAAAGTAACGGGGATGAAATCTACCCTCAGTTTAACACAGTTGACCGAGAGGCTATATGGGCTGAAGTGGAGAAAGATCCTGAGAGAATAAGAAATGAGTGGAGAGAAAGTCAATCATCCAATTACAGCAACTCTCGATATGGTGGCGAATATGGCGAAGAGGACAGCGAACACACAGAATCTGCTGATACTAGTACTGGCCATAACGACAGCGAGAACACGTCCTCCTTTACGCCCAGCTCTGTTGACCTTAGCAATGACCAATCTTGCGGAGACAATACTGATGGGCAGAGCAATCTGAAGAACATTGGCCACCCAAACATGGGCTATGTAGATGCCCCAAGACAAAGTACGTTGTTAAATCTGGTGCGTACCGAATCTGATATAACGCAGACATCAGAATCGCTCTCCAGTGACGAAGAAATGGATGTGGAGCTTCAAGCCATCCGAAGCACTAGACTTCTGAAGCAGCAGAGAGAGAAAGAAGAGCTAATCGAGGCTCTTTTTAAACATATTCTTCTGTATCTACAACCCTATGATTCCAAAAGGGTATTGTATGCCTTTTCTGTGCTGGAAGCCATTTTAAAAACCAACCCTAAAGAATTTATTGAAGCGGTAGCCAGCACCAGTATGGACACCAGCTCCACAGCCCATCTGAACTTAATATACAACCTTCTAGCCCGTCATCAGGAAGCCCTTGTTGGGCAAAGCTTTTATGGCAAACTCCAGGCACAGTCACCATCAATGTGTCCTCATTCTTTGTTGATAGAGCTGTTAACTTATCTCTGCCTCAGCTTCCTTCGTGCATACTACCCATGTTACATTAAGGTCACCCACAAGGATGTGCTGGGCAACAGAGATGTTCAAGTGAAAAGTGTTGAAGTCTTGATCAGAGTGATGTCTCAGTTGGCCTCCATAGCTAAATCCTCAGAGAGCAAGAACGTTGAATTCATCCATAGTTTGCTGGACAGATGTAAAGTTCAGGAATTTGTTCTTCTCTCATTATCTGCTTCCATGTATACAAGTCAAAAAAGGTATGAGATGGTGTCCTCTGGTGTTAAAGATGTTGACGAAGGTTTATTTGAGGAAAGCGTCATTAATTTTGGTCAAGACCAAATTTGGAGTGAGCACCCTCTACAGATTGAGCTCCTTAAACTCCTCCAGGTCTTAATTCTTCTGGAGCACTATTTGCGTCAACTATCAGAGGATCAGGATTCTAGTGCAGATCTCTCAAAGGAATGGCAACGAGGTCTCAACTTTCAACAGTCTATTAATGCAATGCAATACGTACAGTCTCACGCAATAACTTCTCAGGGATTGTTTGTCTCCGCAGTGGTGAGAGCTCTGCGCCCGGAGTATGGATATGGGATGCATTCTCCATGGGTTACTTTAGTTACGTCATCTTTGCCTTATTTTGGAAAGTCATTGGGGCTCACAGTTGCCCCTTTTATTGCGCAGATTTGTAAAAATTTGGATGAACTCGTGAAGCAATATGAAAGAGAGTCGGTAAAGATCGGGTAAGTTTCATATATTTTTCAATATCTCTTTTCTGAGAAAGACACTGGTGCCAGAGATTGCAATACATGATGAGAACATTTTGATGCATCATCTCTTCCGCTAAGTAAACTTTTGTATTTTTTCCCTTTAGTCTGTAGTAGTTTTATGTGAGGTCTCAGACCTTTTTTTATAATGCACTTTGTGTGTTCTGTAGAATAAGATGTACATATTTTTTTTACATCATGGCAAGCATAATCTATTTTCAGAATTCCAACTTAAGGATGTCTGGAATGGGCAGACCATGATTGTCACATATGTCCAGTCATGTCTGAATCCACTGTGCCGCCAAAAATCATTTTAAAAGGGTCGTTTAACAATATGCAATGAGTGCTTTTGTGTAATGGGGGTAGGAGACAGGTATCTTAATGGAGAGATGCATGTTTTTAATTTTAAAATCCTTTTGTTTCTTTTCATGAAAAAGATACAGTAGCATGGTAACTTGCTGCACCACTTCTCAAAAAGCAATATTATTTGAAGCAACCTATTAAAGCATCTTTCTACCAGGAAAAATAAAACCATTTATGTGAAGGACCGGTGTCACATGGGTCTGCCTTTAGAAATGGGTTTTATAAAGCCATTTTAAGCTGTGATGCTAACCTGGTCTCTGCAGATTTTTTTTTAACTACATTTCTCATCATGCTCACACAACCTAGAAGAATTAAATAACTGACTTTTTTATTTTTATTTTTTGCCAGGAACATGACAGCTAAAAGAGAAAATATCTCACCAGATTACCCTCTCACCCTTCTGGAAGGTCTAACCACAATCGGTCACTTCTGCCTCTTGGATCATCCTTCACCAACAAAAAAGGTAAATAATTTTATTTATGAATGGAAACATGCGCACACAAATTAAATTACGTTGTGGGAGAAGATGAATATAAGGTGGTAATGAAAACAAGGCTTTAAAGCAATTTAAATGCAAAAAATAAACTGCACAAATACTAACTTTGAAAGGTCTTAAAGTTGCATGGTTTAAAGAAGATTGCTGCATATTCAGGCAGACGCCTTCCTCGCCAATCAGGAGCCTCTTAGACTGATCTTCTGGGTCTGTTTTTTAACCCATAAACTTATTTTCAGCTGATATTTTATGGGATTTGTCGTTTATATCCCTGTAGCAGTTCCACTTGTAAAAAAATAAAAAATCTGATGAGAGCAGATATACCCCAGCTGCTCTGTTTACACACAGCCCAGTTGCAAATTTGACACCCAAAACCTGTCAATATTTATTAATGTTGGGGTTTGTCCCCTGCCTGACATGTCTCTGCATCATTAAATTCTCCTAGCTGGTCTCCCCAGACGCCGAACTGTCCCGCAACAATCCGTAATGAATGCTGCTGCCAGGCTGATTTTTCTCAACCTTCGCTCCTCCCATACCTCACCCCTCTGTCGATCCTTACACTGGATTCCTGTATCATATAGGTGTCAATTCAAAATACTAATCCTTACCTATAAAGCTCTGACAATCTAGCCCCTCTTTCATAGATAGCCACTTCTTGGTCTCTCCATTCTTCCGGTGATGATCTCCTGTCCGCTGCTCGCCCCCTGACTGCTTACTCACGCTTGAAGGACTTTTCATGGAAAAGCCTGCCTATCCCCATCAGACTCTCCCCTAGACTTCAATTGTTTAAGAAGTCCCTCAAAACACATCTGTTCAGAAATGCTTATGGACTCCCAAAATAACTTATCTATACCTATCCATATCTGTCTTTCGCCCTCCTAAAGAGCCACACTCCACTCTCCCCTCCAGTTATGCTACTTTTCCACCATGTTGGTGGCTGTCACCCTTGCTGCCCTGTTGTGTATTTGTACCCCACCTCCTCTAGACTGTAAGCACGTTTGAGCAGGGTCCTCCTCTACCTATTGTTCCTGTGTCACTGTGTAATTGTCTCAGTTATTGTAAATTTCCCCCTTTCATAATATTGTAAACGCTGTGGAATTAGTTGGCGCTATATAAATGTCAGGGTACCTGTGGTTACTGCCCAGGCAGGGATCCAATCTCCTCATGATGGGGACCCTCCTCACATTCCCTCATCTCGGCCGTTCAGATGCTGGGCACGGTAGCTCCGCCCCTTTTTATGACGCGGCGCATGCGTACCAATGTCATTATGTCACGGCCTGCCGAAACCTTCGAATTTGGTCGTTTTGGGGGCGTGGTCATCATTTAAAGAGCCAAACTATAAAAAGGACTTATTTGCAATGAATCATTGCCCTTTTGTGGTTCTAGCTTGATTGTTCCTATAGTGCATACTCTGTTTTGGTTTATTGGTATTTGACTTGGCTCTGATTTTTGATTATTCTGTGATTTTCCTTCCCTTTGACTCGACTTGTTATTCGCTTATCTGTCTTCTGGCTCCCTCGACCTCGGCTTGTCGCTGACTATTCTCTGTCCATTCCTACGTTAGTCCGGCCATTCTAAGGCCCAGTAAACTTTCTCCTATTTTGCATTCTGCGTATTGGATCGCTGTGTCGTTCCTGACAATAAATACCAATAATAACATGTGGCCTGTAAACATCCCTGTGCAGAATATGAATATTCAGAATTGGGAGGAGAGTGGGGGAAATACCTTTTGTATTCTATAATAAACAGCTACAAAAATAAATAATAGAAAGGTTTGAAGCCACAGTTTTATTTAATGTGAACGTGTCCTTTCCTTTGGATAACCACAGCAGCCTCAGTGAGCGATACATATAATTTGATCTGTACATTATATTAGCAAACCCATGAGCAGCACTATAGGTCATTGGGGACCTGTGCTAGGTCCCTCTTTATTGGTTTGCGGTGGGGTCTTCTTTTACAACCGTGAATAGCCACTGGCTGCTCACTGTTTAGTAGACATGCATTAGGGAGATTGTAATATCTCTTGGCTAATATGTGGGTCATATTAACCCACATAGAGTGTGGAGTGGAGGGGGGTTAGGAAGTGGCACTGTTCCGAATGAACGAATAGCTGAAATTTCAGTCTGAATTTCAGACTATAGTGAATGCCCAAGTGTTCAACTGGGCATGAGCGGGAATTTCACAGCGCTATCTTGTGTGGGCAGATGATGTGTCCCGCAGGTAATTCATCTACCCACACAAAGATGGCGTACCTAGGACCTAGCTCCAGGCATAAAATAAAGAGTGCGGAAAGAGGTAAAATGTGGGGCCTATGGGCGTTTTGGGAGGTGACTAGGGGGACATTAAAATGTAGTGGAGTGGGGGTTAAAAAAAATAAAACGGATGACTATGCCGTTTTAAGACATTGATCCCGCATACCTATGGTGGCAGTCACTTCCTCGTAGTGATGGTAAAGTACATTTTATTACAGTTGATAATGTTTTGATTTATAGTTCTATTTTGAGTTTATTTTGCTTTTTATTATATAGTCTTCCTCGACTGACCCTTCTAACTTGAAGAACGCAAGGAATGCTATTCTAGAGGAGCTTCCCCGCATCATTAACAGCTTGTCTCTTCTTTGGAGTGTTATAACTAAACAAGAAAGAGACAAGAGGCCTTCTGACCTCCTCGGAAGCATCAAAGGGTCGTCCTCCGTTTATTTCAAGACAACTAAAGTAAGGGGACATTGGGCCTATTTTCTTACTGCGTTAGTGTGGCACAAGGTCCACATGAGGTTCATATTTTTATCTAATCATGTTTCTGGTGTTTGTTTGTTTTTTCTCTGCAGACTCTAAAGCAAAAAATCTTGTATTTCCTGAATCCTCTGACAGGACACCTGGGAGTGCAGCTCATTGCTGCTGTAGCCACCGTGTGGAAGAGAAAGAGAATTAACAAGAGCCAAAATAAAGCCAAGGTATTAGACACAGTATCTTACTAATTCCCATACTGTAAACAAAATTAAATAAATTGAACTTTTTATGTCTGGCCTTACTTACTAATATAGAATTGTATTAGCAAGTTTAATTTTACCTATTTTTTTTTATTTTGCTTCTTTTTTTCTGTGACATTTAAACCATGTACCAGTTACCCCTTCTCTTACTTTTATTTGTTCTTCACCTACATTAAAAAAAAAAAGAAAGAAATGGCCCACATAGCAGGGAGAGGTAAAGTAAATACTAATTCTGTGCCTTCGAGGGCACCTTTTAACCCAAAAAATGCCTGTTACATCTAAATGGATGTATAAGGAATACCTCCCACCTCTAGAATCAATATAATGAAAGAAAGCTGGGGATTGTAACAATAGCCATAACTCTCCCTGTTATCACCCCTATTGATACAGACATGTATTGGCTACATTGTTTGGCAGCGACTATTAGCTAATACAATGTTGCTTTTTTGTTCCCACTCCATTTCTGGACCTCTCCAGCAAGACCATTTGGCCTGTATAACAAGCATTTTCTGATATCTTAGTATTTCTATTGCAGCACTGCACATTATGAAATACTTTTTTTTTTTCTTTCTAAAGGGGAGGGAGACGTCCCATTATCCCTTTGTTTGGAGTTTAGATTTAGATTTTTTCTATTCTCCTTATACCGCTGGTCTGCTCATTATTTCATTATCCCTCCACACTCCACCAGCTACTTAACCCGACTTAATCTTAGGATTAATAATGCTGGTGGACATCGTATAATTAATTGTTAAAATGTTGTAACTAGCTCATCTGAAAACATATTACGTTTGACACATACTGATCCACCAGGTCAAGTATAAATATAAAAAACAGTGCCTTTTTTTTTTCTTTCTGATATTGTATGCTACACCATGGCTTTATCTTGTTTTATCCTTTACAATGTTTACCTAAAGTTGTCTACATAAACCTGCACTGCAAAAATAGGGAGTTTAAGAAAAAAGAAAAGAATGTACAAGCTGTCTAACATGTAATACTCTACTCTAAAAATGTGCAAGCTGTCTAACATGATATATTCCACTTTAAAAATGTGCAAGATGGGGGCGGGGCCTGACCGCCGAGCTGGGTGGACGTGGGGCGCCTCAGCTCCCTGACAAACCCGCAATAACCAGCCGCAAAATGCCCCTACTCGCCTGGAAAACCCTCAGCTGCTGTGAGAGGGCAAAGGGGACCCGACCACCAACCTTTGGGGCAAGTACCAGCCCCCACTCCGCTGGCGATGCGGTCTGGTGGGCGAGTGGGATTGCGGCCTGCTGTGAGGCCCTGGCGGGAGAAGCGGCCGATCTCCCGTGCTTGGTCCGGCGGGACCTCCCACCGCCTGCTAAGGGCCCCGTTACCCCCCCCCCTGTGGGCCGGGGGGGTTATCCCGGACCCCACCGGGGACGAAGCGCTCGTTCAGGGCATACAGGCTGCAGGAGGACTGACTGGGGACCGCATGGAAAATCCAAGATGGCTGCCGCGATCATTGTGAGACGGAGAAGTGAGGGGGAAGTACCACAGCAACGGCAGACAGACTGAGTGCTCCTTCCACCCACAGGATACCAGCATGAGGGGTATACTCCACAAGCAAGCCCAGCTCAGCACAATAACCCTCACACCAACAGAGGCATCACCTCCCATTAATACCAGTGGATATAAGGGGACTCTCTCTGGACTCTGACTCTGCCTGAGTACAAGGTAACAATGAGAATGGGGGACAAGCTTCACTCCACTGCTAACTGTCAAGCCCCTGCACACTAAAACAACCAGCTACAAGCACAGATCTAGCACAGCTGCAAGAGGGATCAAGTGGCTTCCAACCACATATGCCTACAGAGATAACAGACTATGGTGTACCTCTTAATCCAGCACCTCATCCACAATTTTAACGTGTGCCTTTTGCATCGGACTCTCTTCCTGCAGTTAGAAAGAAATCCAAATGTCTGAGGCTGCATGTGTGTCCGACGCTCTGCTGCCCCCTGGTGGTTAAACCTAATTAAGCTTAAAGAAATCTGTTCTTGATGATAACCTTAGCTTCTGTTTTAATGGCAAAAATATGCTCACTGTTTTGTTTCTCACATATATGCCTAGCACAAATGCCGATTTAGACAGGTTAAGCATCAACTATCTCGCTGTATTTTATGTAACTTCACGCTAATGATTTAACTGTTTAGCCAAGCTTGCTAAAAATATAAAATTGTGCAGACTCTCATGCCACTGTTTAACCATTGTATATCTTGCAATACGCTGTTGTGGCGTCTGTTGATTCCTTGTACCCACCTGCACAGCAAAAATAAAGAATTACAAAAAAAAAAAAAAAATGTGCAAGATGTCCACATCCCATATCTCTGTTATAGACCCTGAAACCACGCTTGTGAAAACGATCAACATGTCCTATTCTACTTTAAAATTGTGCAAGTTATCTAGCAAGTTATATTCAACTTTAATAATGCACAAGTAACCTGACACGCTACAGTCTACCTTTAAAAATGCAAGTTGTCTAGTAGGATACACCCTACTTTAACAATGTGCAAGTTGTCTAGCACGTTATATGCTATATCAAAAATGTGCAAGTTGTCTAGCACGTTATATGCTATATCAAAAATGTGCAAGTTGTCTAGCACGTTATATGCTATATCAAAAATGTGCAAGTTGTCTAGCACGTTATATGCTATATCAAAAATGTGCAAGTTGTCTTGAATGCTATCTCTACCACTGTCTACGTTTCTCTCTACAAAATGTAAAAATTGTGCTGTATATTCATATGCCATGCTTTGATTGTTATACCTGTTACCGCTTACAACTGCTATCGTGGCTGAGTAAGCCTATTGTTTTTCATGCACAACATAAAATAAAGAATAAAAAAAAAAAAATTGAATTGGGGAGAACATATGTTGCTCATTTTATAAATTAAATCCGGTTTTGTATATTTTTGTAGAAATATTCTATATGTGATCCTAAAATATTATTCCAATGTCTTGTCTTTTTCTTACAGATTATTCCAGTGCCCAGTGAGTCTCAGCTCACACTCGTTGACCTGGTTTTGGCTCTGAAGAGTCTGAAGATTGATACCATTTTACAGTTGTTGAAGGAAGTTGTTAAGAAGCCACCGTTGATGAAAGGAGAAGAGGTATTATTTTATTATTTTGTCTACAGATGTGCATGGTCATTTTTTTTTAAATTGTTTATTTTATTGAGGCATGTGATTATGGTGGTACAGAAAAAAGAGAGGGAGACTTGCAAGAATTGTACAGGTAAGGGTTGTCGTAACAGATTACAGAAATCTCCTATGATTGTCAACCTCATTTTATATTATATTAACAAGCTTAAACCATAGATAGATATCAGGTAGGGTATTTGCTAGGCAATGCACGTTTTTTGATAAAATAGGTACATAAATAAGGTTACATGCATGCACTATATTCTGTTCGCTATTTACTGGACACATAATTTAAGTACTTACACAATTGGTATGTTTAAGTAATATGAATAGGATGCTTCAACATAGTAGGCAGATAAGCTAGTTTATATCAAACACATCCTATTGTGATATGTAGTTAGTAGAGCAGCAGGCTATGATTCACTAATAGTGAGTACCGTATTTATCGGCGTATAACACGCACTTTTTCTCCCTGAAAATAGGGGAGAAATCGTGGGTGCGTGTTATACGCCGGCCCTTTAAATTCTGCAGCCGCCTGAGCGCTCTGTTCAAGAGCGGTCAGGCGGCTGCAGTTGGTACTCACCTCCCCTGTAGCGTGGCCGAGCCGCTCTGCAGTCCGCGGTGGCCGGCCGGACTGATAGGAAGGTGCACGCTCAGTGTGCACCTTCCTGTCAGTCCGACCGGGTACAGGAAACAGAAACTCCTGTTCCGCGCGGAACAGGAGTTTCTGTTTCCTGTACCCGGTCGGACTGACAGGAAGGTGCACACTGAGCGTGCACCTTCCTATCAGGCCACCGGCCACCGCGGACGGCAGAGCGGCTCGGCCACGCTACAGGGGTGGGGGCTAAGAAGGGGGGAGGGGGGCTAAGAAGAGGGGAGGGGGCTGGGAGGGGGAAGTAGAAGAAGAGGGAGGGGGGTAAGAAGGGGGGGTAAGAAGTTCTTTTATTGGCCCCGAAATTTAAAAAGGACCACTCTAGGCACCCAGACTACTTCAGACTTGTAAGAGTAGTCTAGGTGCCACTTGGGTCTCTCAAGAGGGGTTAACCATTTTTATAAACATGGCGTTTTGGAGAAGCTGTATGTTTAAATAATAAAATTGTTGAAAACATCTTTCATTTGGCGGCTACTAAAGCTTTACTCTTGTCAGCGCCTACTCACTGTTTTCAGGGTGAGAGTACTTTTATAGCGATCTATAAGCTTTGTGTAAATGCTTTCTATGCATTTCAGCTTCATCACTTACATGCCGTATTGCATTCCAACCGATACATCCTTGAGAAGCAAGGAGGAGAGGGAGGAGTACAGCTCGCCGAGCTAAGAGAAAGGTAAGTGTTTAACCCCTTCCTCTCTTAGGCCCGGCAGGAGAAGGGTCCCTGAGGGTGTATAACACGCACCTCATTTTAAGAAGGAAATTTCAGGGGGAAAAAACTTAAAGGACCACTATAGTGCCAGGAAAACATACTCGTTTTCCTGGCACTATAGTGGTCCTTTAAGTTTTTTTTCCCTGAAATTTCCTTCTTAAAATGAGGTGCGTGTTATACGCCGGTGCGTGTTATAGGCCGATAAATACGGTAATAGTGAAGACTAGGCTAGACATGTATAGGACTGTGGGGGTTGTGCTTAAGGTTGAAGCTGTATGGCTTGCGTTCTCTAAATAATAAACATTTGTACTTCACTAAATAGGTTAAACATAACAACCCTGCGCTTTGCTAGTATTAGGAACTGCTAGCACGGGGGTAAACGTAAGAATACTCATGTGAATCATGGCCATTTTTAAATAAATATCCATATATTAAGTCCTAAAAATAACTCTGCTTAGTGTCTGACTGTAAGCAATTAGTGGGAAAGAGTAGACATCACCAATCAATTATATTTAGATTAAGTCTACAAAAAAAAGATTATTCGTTTTTCTTACTCGTAAGTTAGTCCAAACACTGTAGATACATTTAATAGGGTGATTGGGGGGGGGTGATTTAGTGAATTCCTTTATATAGAACATTACTGTCCTACTGGTGGATCAAGGATTTGTTTAGGATTCCTCGTGGATCTTGGGCCTGTGTTCTTCAGTGGTTTGGCTTGGATTCCTGGTGGACCTTGGACCTGTTTCCATCAATGGTTTGGCTGGGATTCCTGGTGGACCTTGGACCTGTGTCCATCAGTGGTTTGGCTGAGCTTTCTAGTGGACTTTAGACCTGTGTCCATCAGTGGTTTGGCTGGGATTCCTAGTGGATCTCGGACCTGTGTCCTTCAGTGGTTTGGTTGGGATTCCTGCTGGACCTTGGACCTGTGTCCTTCATGGGTTTGGCTGGGATTCCCAGTAGACCTTGAACCTGTTTCCTTCAGTGGTTTGGCTGTCAGACCTGGCTGGTAGACCTTGAGCGTGTGTCCTATCAAATCATGTAAATCTATCCAACTACACTGTGGTTTTTGGCTTTTCTGTTAACTGTATTAATTCTAAATCTTCTTTTTATTCTGTATTTTTTCAAAGAAGGCGTCACTAGTTGATATTCCCATGCTGCAGTTCAGTTACGCTTTCATTC